ACACTGAGTGTGTCGCCTCGCTCTCGCTCTCTCTCTCTCTCTCTCTCTCTCTCTCTCTCTCTCTCTCTCTCTCTCTCTCTCTCTTTCTCTCCGCGCACGCGCAGTGAGGCGCCGGTGAGCACAAGTCCTCCTGGCCACCGGGAGGCGACGCAGGACGGTCACGACGAGCACGTTGATGAAGCCTCGGAAACGATTCGACCGCAACAGACGGTGAGCAACTTGGCAATGTGCGTGCGCGGGTTTATGACACGCAAAATCGCCTTCCCTCGCTTTTAGTTCAAACGTGTTTAAAGTGCGCGGGATGAGGAAACTTCCAACAATAAATTCAAATGAAAAGTTTACAATTCACCCAATGCGGCAAAGCACGACTCGTGAAGCTCCTCGACTCACTTTCAACAAAGTTCCTTAGCACCGCGATGCCACTAGAGGGCAACAAAGTTCTGGTTTTGTCTGAACGAGCTTCCTCAGCTCTCTTCAACATTGTTCCTTGGCACCGAGATGCCACGAGACGGTACCGACGCGCAACCTTCTCGCTGAATTGAAGCGCCACAATTCACTCCCACCTAGTTGCCGGCCGAGCCGAGCTTTTCTCATTTTTGCGAATGAACTGCGAACATGCGTGGCGGTTCACCGTACGTTGTCTCATTGACGTTTCCTTGCTTGCTAGCCCCATTGCTCAAACGAGACGCGTTTGTTTGTGTGTGCAGTCGCCATCCAGCCGGAGAAAAGAAAGTCAAGACCACTCGGCCTCGCCTCTCAAGTACACACACCTGCGACGCACAGCCTGCAGATGAACACACACGCAAACACTCTTCACCGATAAGAAAACACGCACGCACGCGCATCCCGATTCTGCTCGTTCTGTTTCAGGCTGCACGTGTCAGATCTGCGCTACGTTTCCGTGCTTGGCAGAGGTCACTTTGGCAAGGTAGCACCATCTCTCATCTTTGTGTGCGTGAGCGTGTCTGAAAAGGTGACGTCAAAAGTCCCGGCATGTCCGCGTGCGCCGCTTGGAATTGTTGCGACGGTACCCGTAGCCGTGTGACTGCGCGGCCTTCAGGTGCTCCTGGCCGAGATGAAGGCCACGGGCCGCCTGTACGCCGTCAAGGCCCTGAAGAAGAGCGAAGTGGTCACGCGTGACGAGGTGGACAGGTGGGCGGGCGGGCGAGTGGGCGGTCGCAGGTTCGGCCCGGCCGCGCTTCCCACGTTTAAGAGCCGCGCGTGTGCGCCCCCTGCAGCCTGATGTGCGAGAAGAGGATCCTGGAGCTGATCAGGACGCGGCGGCATCCTTTCCTGGTCCAGCTGCACGCCTGCTTCCAGACCCGAGAACACGTCTGCTTCCTGCTGGATTTCCTCCCCGGGGGAGACCTCATGATCCACATCCACAACCGAGCCTTCACGCCGCAGCAGACCCGGTGGGGGTCAAATTTATTATGCGCAAATTTGCATAGCGGACTTGAGATGTTCGTTCAACTTTTTTTTTTTTTTTAACTTTTATATTACTTTGAATTTTTTTTTTTTTGCTTGTGGTTCTGCTTGTTGACTTCCTGGCCTTCCGTTTCAATTTTGTGGACCTTTGCTTTTGTTTTCCGTCACACTTGTTGACTTGCCGGTCACTGGATTCGTCTCTCGCTTCACTTTGACTTTTTTTGTGTTGAGACTTGACGTCTTTGGCTCGGGTGGCACATTTTACTTTTGCTTGCTCGCACGTGGGCTTGACTTTTCATCCGACTGTCATTTGGATTTCTTTTCATTTGACTTTCACTTTGATTTGATGACGTGACTTTTGTTTTGGTTGACTTACTACAGTTGACTTTTTTTTTTTTTTTAAGTGAAGGCTGAGTTGACATTTTTCGTTTGTGTCGTTTTTACTTGATTTTGGTTGACGTTTAGTTGAGTGTACTGTGACGATACTTTCTTGGGCAGGACTTAAGTTGACTTTTATGGCACTTTTTTCTTTTACCTTGGATTGATTTTACTTTCAAATCACACGATTGTGTCACTTCACTTCAATTTCGGCCGACCTTTGTCGTCGGCCGCCTTTTCACGAGGTTGTCCGTCCGTCGTCGTCCCGCAGATTCTACTCGGCCTGCGTGTTGCTGGCATTGGAGTTCCTGCACGCCCACCGCATTGTCTATCGGTAAGGCAGCGGCGACCATTCTTTAGCCCCCCTCTGACCAAGCGTGTGCGTCGTGTGCACGTAGAGACCTGAAGCTGGACAACCTGCTGATGGGCGCCGACGGCTTTGTCAAGATGACCGACTTTGGACTTTGCAAAGAAGGCGTGAAAAGCTTCCGCTTCGGCCTTTTTACTCCTTTCCGGTCGGTGTCGATCTGATTTTTTTTTGTTGCTTTTTCCAGGCATCGGTCACGGGGATCGCACGTCCACATTCTGCGGAACGCCCGAGTTCTTGGCGCCCGAAGTTCTGACGGACGACGATTACACGCGGGCCGTCGACTGGTGGGGGATGGGCGTGCTCATCTACGAGATGCTGGTGGGCGAGGTCGGTTTTCGGGGTCGCAAACTTTGAGAAACGTCGCCGTTATGATGCTGTTAATCTTGTTTTTTTCTTTTCTAATTAAAAAAAAATCTAATCTAATGCGCATACTGTGCTTGTACTTTGGGAAGCAAAAAAAAAATTGACGCACTGCACGAGCGAGCTTTGTCTTCCACTCAGATAATGAGGCAAGTTTAACTTTTTTTTTTTTTTGCGGTTCCTGCATGCCAGTCGCCATTTCTGGGTGAGGACGAGGAGGAAGTGTTTGACAGCATCGTCAACGACGACGTGACGTATCCGCCATGGCTTCCGCCAGATGCCGTGGCGATAATCCAGAAGGTAAACGTCATTTGAGCGCATCCAAACCGGACCTGCCTGACCATCAAGGGGTGCGAGGGTGTGTGTGTGTGTGTG